CCCCCCCTTACACCTACGAAATTTGAACTCTCTAGGTCGACGGGGTCCGGAGTTATGAATTTCCGGTCAAACACACACACACACACACAAACACACACACACACACACAGACAAACCAACAGACACACTTAGCGCGTTATATATAGTAGGATACTGTCTCCTAATCTAATTATTCCCAGTATATGTAGGTATTTCTGTTGAAGACGATGACAAAAAGTTCCACTTCGAGATCCGTCGTTCTTTATCTATAGATTACTTACACGTTGCCAACCAAACTGGCTCCTCCCTCCCTTGCGCTTCTCAAACAATCTTTCTATGAGAAGCTCTTTTCGAACGATGTAACCTGGATACGATACTTACCGTTGTGTAATTGTAAAGTCCTCCATAGAAAGGAAAGAACATGTGCAAATCTATAGTCTGTCCTGCTGTCAACATCCCAGGATTCACTTTCAGATCACCGTTTTCCGGACCAAATGGTACCAAATTCACTGAAATATCATTTTTCAGAACAAAAATATGAGCAAAATAAGAAGAAATGAAATGAACGTCTACTATTTCTTCACAAAGCCATACAGTTACTTCCATTTGTATGGATAAAAACAGGGTAAGTTCGGTTATAATTCCATAAGACGGTTAGCTGTTCACATCCGAATTTAGGCAGCTAACTGCGTGTAAGGGCGACGTGTGAAGTGGTGTAGTGACAAGTGGTGAGCTATCACATACTTATGGTCTTGGGTTCGAACCCGGAAACGATATCCGCCTAGGCCAAATAAGCCTTCCAACCCCCTGGGATAACTGGTGTTAGACTCGTCTGTGAGGGTAAATGCACTAGCTTGTACATCGGCTGGCTATCGCAAGTCACTGTATAGGCCACATGCGCATACAATACACTGCTATAATTCTGAATGGAAGTCGAATGTGAAGGCACATCCATCAGACGAGGTTGATCAACGCCCTAAGACTTTATGCTTCAATTACGTGTGCGGTAGAGCTCATCCGTTTCAGTGAGTGTTACAGTATATAGATGACCTTTGTCGGGCAGTTATAAGTCAATGTTGACATGTGCCCTCAGCAGCTTTTACGCTCAGAAGCTTGGGCTGCGGTGAGCAAACAGAACAGTCGTAGTGGTATTGGAGGTGTCCACAATGCCGATCAATATTTATTCATATCTCATATTACCTGGATGGATATGGGAAGAATCCATGATACCTATGAAATGATGCCAATGAGAGGTTGCTGTGAAAGACTCATGAGGAAATATCCTACATCATTCTTCAGTAATTTTATTATTCCCACCACTTCACGATGTCCAGCCTCTCCATAGCCCTTCAACTCGATCCAGTGCTACCGTGCATTGGGGAAAAAGACTTCTATCTTTCAGTAACACCTCTGAAATTGCGGATTTGTCTGGATCTTCAGCTCTTTCCACGGTTCCCACTCTAGTGTTATTTATTAGACACGAAACTTTGCTGAAGACTCGTCTTGATACGAGACAGCTCATGAGCAACTTTATTATGGAGCTTAATAAGGTTACTTTGGCAACCAAGATGGAAGCCTACGGTTACCTTACAAGGGAAGGACCCCAAGTCGAAGTGGCCATTTGAATTGAGACCTACACTAAAAGACGTATTTTTTGATGCTGATTTCAAATCTGCATTCGAAATCTGCCAAACGATTTTCTGGACGATGTTATGGAGTTGGTCTCCGGAGAGCGCTCAACAGGGGGAAAGCACCAAAGACATGGTCGCCGTTACCCAGCACGTGGTGGCTTGGAGTAGAGGTGAGCGTGACGCTTCATAGGCATGGGACTAAGAATTTTGCATTTTGCAGGACTATTACTCCAGGTTGTAGAAGTCTCTTTATATTAGTCTTACCGCCTTCGGCAACTTTTTGGATGCTCGAGGAGAAGCAGTTGCTGTCTAAACAGTCTTCCTCTCCGCAGTGATATTGATAGTTTTTGAAAAACATGGAGGTTGGAGCCAGTTTTCAAAAGGTACGGGTTGCAACGAGGCAAACGCGGCAAAGTATTGTATATATGGATGGATGTAACACTAAAGAACAAGGAGTATGTTCTGCCCAGAGTCGGTAGTGTCGCACCTGTTGAAGAACTTTGGTTCCTGTGATGTCGGACGCGCCCCTACAAGGAAGGAGCAGAAGTTGATAGATAGTTTATTCTTCTATCTTGCGAGATGCCACTTACGAAGACCTCGATATTGAGTGCGAAGAAGACTGTGGGATGATGGAGAGGAAACGACATCCACATCTAGAGGGTCGTTGATGTTTGGTAATATAGAAGTGTCCAAGGAGCAGGTAGGTACAAGTTCTCCTTCCCAAAACATTTATTAGAGAGAGATGACCAAACAAATCCTCGTGATCTCAAATCTAGATGTCAGATGGTTCAAGCAGGAACTGCTTCACCTCGAGCATTCAAAAAGTTGCCGAGGGTGGTAAAACTAATATAAAAAGATTTTTACAACCAGGAGGGAAAAGTCCTGCAAAATGCAAAAACACTACCGCCCACCAAACCCGAACTTTGGTCCCATGCCTATGAAGCGTTACGCTTGCCTCTACTCCAAGCCGCCACTTGCTAGGCACCGGCAACCATGTCTTCTGTGCTTTCCCCCTGTTGAGCGCTATCCGGAACCCACTTCCATAACTTCGTTCAGAGAATCGTTTGGCAGTTTTTGAATGCAGATTTGAAATCAGCATCAAAAAGTACGTCTGGCAGGGCAGGTCTCATTTCGAATGGCCATTTCGACTTGGGATCCTTCAATTGTTAGAACAAAAAAAAAATGGCGGCGTATAGAAGTGTTGCAAAAAAAAGACACGAAGGAAAAAGGGATAAAAGTCAGTTCTAAGGCGATATCGGCTCTATGGAGTTCTGGTACACGATAGAATAAGGAAGAATGTATCATCTTTGTCGTGGCTTCAAAGAGATCTAAATAATGTATCTTTTGAAGAAGCTGAATTTTGATTCTTACCTCCATAGTAGGGATTGTTTCCGGTACCAGAGAATATGGTTCCTGGAGTGCCGATGTTTTGATTGGTGGGGAGCCCGATGTTCTGGTTGATGTTGGCCTGAGTATCTACTTCGTTGATGAAGATGCAGATCGTCCACCACCATCTCATGGCTGATCACCTAATGATTGCAGAAATTACAGGTGGAAAATTAAGAATGCTAAGAGGCAAAAATGGCTCTGGGAAAAGGCAGCTTCAGAGATGAGATGCGAAAAGAAAATCGAGTGAGGAGAGCAACGAATGAAAGATGGGGAAATAAGGAATGATGAATAGATCAAGAGGTATTAAGAGTCAGCAGTAGAATAAGATCCTCAATGTGATGAGCCATAGATTATTTCTCGTTAAGACGTATTCATGTTTCTCGCTGAGATGTATACACAAAAAGGTTGTAAAAATGGCAAAGTTAACAGTATTAGATTCATGAATTCGAGAGACGAATACTGTAAGACTGTCACGTAGAACAACTACAATGCAGCAAGCAGAGCGAACTGACAGAACAATTAACTCATTTCGTGAAGCACACATAAAATAACCCTATGCTGAACCATCTGAACGGTTTTGAAGACCGAATCAAGTTCTGTTGAAGAAGTAAGTGCTCTGAAGTCGCCCAGTTCTAGCGACAGAACGACTGTGAGCACTTCAACAGAAATTGATTCGGTCTTCAAAACTGTTTAGGTGGGTCATTATTTTCAAGATGAACAGTAACAGATCGACACTTCTAATTATAAGCAATAAGCATCGGCACATAGTGAATACCACTTGCACTACCCGCCAGTCTCGGTCAAGTTTTGCGTTGCGAAAGGTATCATTGGTCAAAAGAAGGAGCGGGCTGTTTGCCGATCACTACAACTCTATCATAAGAAGTTGGAAATTAGACGACTGGTATTTACACAAATAGCACTGAAGTGGTGACGTTGAATGGCACTCATGAACCAGTCATTCAAAAATGTCAACAATCTAGTCCTCTTGTGAGTTGAGCCATATAATCGTCGTACAAAACGTAAACCTCACACCTCGCAATGATTGCACTTATGATAGGCTTTTCTAGACGTCCGGTTTTCTTCCAAGGAGTATGTTATACCCGAAACCGTTGACGGAGAAGGGTTGTGCCGAGTCTCGGTGATTGAAGCAAACAGGATTTCTGTCAACGAAGATAAAATAGAGACAAACAACACCCGAAAGCCATTTGTATGTACAAGCCCGATATAGGTACAGATTCGACTAAGAATTTCAACGATGACGAGCGTATGGCGCATCGCATGAGGTATGCTCAGTGTTTGTTTTCTGGACCTTTACATTTGCATGCACCGATTCTCAACGATGCAACTCACAATAGCGCCCACATTTGTAGACTTTTTATTCAGTAGCGACTGATTATTACTGTACTATGGCCACTATTTCAAAAGCGCAGGGGAATTTCATGAGTTAGTTAAAAACAGTTTGTTTAAAGGATAGTCTTGTGGTGTTTATGCCGGTCTGAGAGATGTGCTCATGCATTCAACTTCCACTCAGAATCGTAGTGGCTTACTGAATATGTATGTGACTTGCGGAGGTCAAGCGATGTACAAATCACTGCTTTTGTCCTGCCAGACGAGTCTTGTCCCGACTTAAAGGCACTGTTCACGAAAAAATTGGTTTCGGAGATTTGCACATGGTTTGAATTCGACGCCCCCTCTGATACCATTTGTGCAGGAATGAGGTCGGAAAACGGCTGGATAGGGCACAATAAGGGGCCGGAGAGTTATCCACGGTCGCCCTCCGCCCCTCGCTAGGCTGACTACGAAATCTAATTGCCGTTTACCACTTTCGCATTGGAGCGGAGTTGGTGAAAAGTCGATAAGCTGGTTGGCAAATTGCTAGAGACGCAATGTGTTGTCTGCTATTGCAGACAACACATTGCGTCGACTTCGTGCACTCGCCCGAACACTCCCTAACCGCCGTTATTTCAATGTGAAACTCGTCCAACCCCCCTTTCCAGGTCTTTCAGCTCTTTGCTTGACCCTTTGTAATTCTTTTTGTTCATCGTTTTTTGCGCTTTTTTCGTTGTTATCGCTTTATTCTAGAGTAGTTCTATCAATTCCCGTCAAAAAAGGGTACTCTAAAATTATTGTGCTAACGGTACCTTTAATGTTTTGTTAACTGCTGTTATTTCGCCGCAGTACGCGATGCGAAAGTCTCACAATGTGGGCGAATTATGGACAAGACTTCGGCTTTGACGGCACTCGAATCTTGTACTTGTGCTAATCTGGCATCGTGCTCTTATCCATTAAATTACCAAGACCCGCCTGCCCTCGCCTTCTTAATGGCTTATATGTCACCAGTCGGGTCGCTCGGCTTACGCTCGGCCTCATTCCTTACTTCTACCAAAAAGCCAGAAAATGTGCTTAAGGGAGGGGGGGGGGGGGGGGGNGGGGGGGGGGGGGGGGGACATCGCTTATCCAACACTAGAGTGCACAAGAGGGGTAGCCGACCTGACCCTATATCTAGAAAGGGTTCTAGGCGAAAGAATATAGTTTCAAGATAAGCCTTAAGAGGGAGGGGGCGGATAGGGAGGTAGGGGTGAGATGATGACCCTCGTTCAGAAAGCTAGGATGGGCTATAAGTTGAACATTCAATTGACTTACCTACTTCATTATCCCTTCCCTCCTAAAGCTCAGATTGAAAACTGTGAGTTCTCGATAAGTAACGTCATTGAGCATAATCATGGGCCAACCTGCTTATGTTGAAATTATGTTGCAGAAAAACGGAGGTCTTCTACATTACCGTCTCCGATTTTCGCAAAAACATACATAGCACGATGCCAGTACACTTCAAAATAACAGTTTCGAAATACTCACTTCAAACATCACACTACTCACTCTATTCCATTAACCTACCCACCAAGTTACTGCTTTATATATAAGAAGGAAATGTTTAATAGAGCTGGGTTTTTGATATCACTACCTTTATCGTAATCATAAGCTTTGCGGACGGACAAACACACAAACCGACAAACGACACATCAAGTTACTGCTGCATAAATGACAGATCGGGTCCCGGCTTACGCCGGGCCTCACTCCTAATTTTTATAAAGTAGTTAAAAATGTAGTTGGTGGGGCATCGCTTTTATCCAACACTGAGGGCTTGAGCGCAGAGAAGCAGGGGCAGTCGACCTTGCTTGTGCTAGGAGTCGGTTCTAGGCAGAAGAGTATAGTTTTCACACAAGCCTTTGGAGAAAAGGAGCGTTGTGGTGAGGATGAGATGAATACCTCGTGCAATAAGCTAGGATGGGGTGTGAGTTGAATATTCGATACTCGACCCAACTCAGTGCTCTTCGCAAAACTAAGGTTAAAAAACTGTATGCTCTCGAAACGAGAAAGGGTTTGTGAGCATAATGATGGGCTAACCTCCTTATTTGCGCTCTGGCGCTCAATGCTGAAAAAAAAAGCAGAGATCTCCCAACTATCTTACAATCTCCGATTTTTGTATAGACATACATAGCACGATGCCAGTACAGATCGGAATCCTAGTTCTGAGGTACCCACAAACTCCTCATTACTCACTTCGCAGTACTCACTCTACTTCATTAGCCAACCCAGCAAGCTACTGTTTCATATTTGAGGAGGGAACGCAGGATAGAGCTGGATTTCCATATCACTACCTCTATCGTTACCATAGAGTGTCAGCGACGGACAGACCTACAAGCCGACACTCTGACAAACCGACGCACTATGTTACTGCTGTATAAATAACCAGACAGGTCGCCCGGCTTACGCCGAGTCTCACTCCTTACTTTTACAAAGTACTTAGAAAATGTAATTATCTCTTTTACCCCAAACTGAGGGCTTGAGTGCAGAGAAGCATGGGTAGTCGAACACCTGTGCTTCGACCCAGTTTTAGGCAGAAGAATCTAGTTTTTACCTGAGTCGCGAAAGGGGATGAACGGTTAGGTTGGGATGAAATGACTTCCTCGTGCAAAAAGCTAGGGATGGGGTATCATTTGAATATTTTATTGACTCACCAACCCCGGTGCTCTTTTCTTCCTTAAGCTCAGGTCAAAAAATGTATATTCCGCCGAAACCTTCCTGTGCAGAATTATGGGCTAACCTCCATACTTACGCTCTAGTGCTCAATGTTGAAAAAAGCGAAGGACTCCCAACTACATTACCATCTCCGGTTTTAGTATAGATATACAGAGCACGATGCCAATACAGGTTGAAATCACAGTTTTTAAGTACCCACTTCACCCCACATTACTCACTTCACCCCGCAGTGCTTACTCTAGTCCATTGACCTACTCACCAAATTACTGCTTTATGTATAAGAAGGAAATGTAGAATAGAGCTAGGTTGTCCATATTTTACCTTTACCGTAACCATAAGGTTTTGCAGACAGACATACACACCGACACACCAACAAACCTACAAACCGACACACCACGTTCTGCTTTATAATAAGAGAGATAGAGATAAATAAATAATATGCCATAGCTTATCAGCACTCACACGTAAGAAGGCGAGGGCAAGCGGGGTATCGTTAATGTAATGGATAAGGGCCCGGATAGCACTAGTACAGGTTCGAGGCCGCAGTTTTGTCCATAAGTCGCCAACCTTGTGAGTCTGGTTCCAATTATTCGACCCCGGAGGGATGGAAGTCTTGGTTGGCATAGGCGGATATCGATCCGGGATTCTAATCCACGACCATTATTTTTTGAGAGATTCGACAAAAGTTTAGGGCGGAGATGGTGTAGGAGCAGGTAGCGCACTATCACACAGGCAGGGTCACTAATTCGAATCCCGGATCGATATCTGCCAAAGCCTTCCATCCCTTCAGGTTCGGTTATAATTGGTGGCAGAGTCGTTTGGGAGGATAAAAGCAATGACTTGTACATCGGCTGGCGCATTCAATACGCCCCTACGATTCTGAATGGAAGACGATTGTGTGGGTGCATCCCTCTGGAGTGGTCGATCAACACCCAAAGACTTTATCATTCCCTCCTTCAGCCTGTCAAAAAGATACATTTCACTTCTAATCCACCTGAACATATCGAACTACTCCCCAATAGAGGTCTAACCGTCAACATGAGAAAAGGGCCGGCTTTTGACGTGTCGATGGAAGGTTTCGTAGAACAC